CAGGAAATATTAACATTAGGATTTAAAATATTCTAAAACTAAAACTTAGCAGAGCCTGTCTGACACTGGTGTACTCTGCAGAGGTGAACTGTGGCAAGGGGTTTGTTTAGAGTGACAGCTGCCCCTGATATTCCCTGATTTGATTACATTTGATTGAATGTCTGACGGTGTTGACAAAAAGTGGGGACACAACTTTAAAATCGTATTAAACATGCACGTGTCATTAAAAAACAACCTTGCTTTGATAGGAGATATTATTAAGTGTTGCTTTTGATAAAACAAGCTCTTTTTCATCATTAAAAAAAATACATTTTTATCCATTTTATTGCATATGAATGATTGAACCTTTCTCTGTGGACACACTGTTTTAGACGTAGTGAGAGGACATTAAGAAACACAGATTTGGTATAATGATGAGAAAATTAAATTGAAGGTGATAATTGTGTTAAATACATTTATCCCTCGTGACATTTAAAATTGAAAATATTTGTATTTTTAAACCTAATAGCAGTTACCCTTGCTGGACCTGTTTTGTCCCATGTCTCAAGAAAGTTAATAAACATAAGTGGTTCAAAACTGGTTTTGTTTCAGCATTCAGATTTTAAATTGTACTGGTGACAGTACCAAATTAAAAAGGATTACCAAGTAAAATATGAATTACAATGCAAAATGATTAAAATAGCATAGGCTGAAATCAATTTTATTCACACTTTTAATGCATAAAACAGCAGCACTGTGATTTACTAGCCTAATATACAATAAACAGCTATCTATATATATATATATGAAGAGTTTATTTGCAAAAACAGATTACTCCGTTTTTTATTTTCAAAAATCATGTTTTTTATTATGTTTTATTGTGCTAGTTAGCTGTTTTTTTAAGTTATTTTTTTACCTAGTCAAATATGTATGTATATATATATATATATATTTATACTAAGTGACAGATTAATTTGTGTCGAATTATTGTAGTTTTACTGGATGCATACTCTTTGATGTCAACAACAAAACTAAAATAAAAAGCAATTTGCCCATTTTGCTTAACTATAAACCTTATCAGTAATTTTGTATTTCATTTTTTTTCCATTGAAGTGTTGTTTGATAAAATATAAAAATGGTGAGATAAAAGCTTAATATACTATTGCTTGAAATAAATCAACAACAAATTGGTGCTGAATATGGAAAAACTGCAGAAAAGTGGCTGTAGCTACAGGTGTTAAAAGCAAAGTTCAGAAAGACATGCTACCGTACTATTTCTGTAGTATATGTTATGCATACGGTGTGCTGTAAGCATATGCAGGTGATTTTCTACAGTATTGAGAAATCTACAGTATTCTAGAAAAGCCGTTTACAACTGAGCATAATGTATAATAATGTATCCCACAATGCAATGTTCTCACCTTGACCCTTCATTTCTCACCGGTGTGATGAATAAAGCATTGCAAATTTAATTACTTCCAATTCACCCTTCACACAGTATACGGTGTGCTGTAAGCATATGCAGGTGATTTTCTACAGTATTGAGAAATCTACAGTATTCAACAGTATTCTAGAAAAGCCGTTTACAACCGAGCATAATGTATAATAATGTATCCCACAATGCAATGTTCTTACCTTGACCCTTCATTTCTCACCGGTGTGATGAATAAAGCATTGCAAATTTAATTACTTCCAATTCACCCTTCACACAGGAAATGGAGGGTCAAGTCAACAGCATTGCATTGCTATATTACAGTATTCTCTGTGTTCTTATTGTATACTGCAGTGTAGCACTGAAGGTCATGTGAATATGTGCATATTGTGCATAAAATTCATAATATGTACTGCAGCAATAGTAATAACAGTATAGTAGGCTATGTTATTCCAAACATAACCAGCATATATATTGCAAAGTAGGGCTGTGCAAAGTATTCTGTTAATAGTAAGCTAGTATTACTTCCCAATACATCAATTTATCCATTACAAAATTTCACATTTACTTACCCTAGTCTTACTGTCACTTGGCTAATAATGTGTCCTCCTATTATTTCATATATTGACTGTATCTGAAAACCTACTGAGCTCACATTACAAATTACCATTGAATGTCATGTTGAATTTATTTGCTTTGAAGGCAGTCCACTTTCTACATGCACATCTCTTTCCTAACATATACCAGCACTGACAGATGCGCATACCCCAATATAAAAGGTGTACAGTGCTGGAGTAAAGATGACAGAGTCTGATGTAGAGACGATGGGAAGGTGTTCTAAGCTGTTAAAGAGTGAAGAGACGAGGCAGATTCACTCCGCCATCCAAACAAGTTCATTATGGGCTGACGGGTGCGGTGTGGGCATGTGGATGTTTAATTATGCCAGTGGAGAGAAAAAGCACACAAACCATCTCCAGGGGCCAACTAGAAGAAATCACACTGTTCTTTGACTCTGTAAAGTAGCAACAGGGAACACAGAGCCTCCAGGTTGTTGTGTGAGATGTGATCATTATTGATCCACCAACACCCTTCCCTCTGTCTCGAACTGCAGTCATGGGTCATGATTAAAAAACACACAGCCAGTTTAAAAATTCTGCTGATTTTGTTAGGTTTGGACAGGCAAATATTCAGTAATTGTAAACTGGTCTTCAGTAGAGGATTGATGGTC